GATGTTTTAAAGGGCCTTACTTCAATCCTGACAAACAAGCACCAGATGTTTCTTTTATCGTAGTTGCATTCTACACGGTCATTCAACATTTCAGGCTCATGTTAAGGTCTGAGAAACTCTGATCCACCTCTTGCTCCTTAAAAAAAGAAAGCTGTGAGAGAGAATAAAATAAAGAATAAAATATGATAATTCTGATAAAGTAAATAAATGAACAACTGAAGTCTTTTCACTGGGAGAAAGAGATAATAGGTAGAAAATAACATCTGTACTCAGTTATCATCAAGCACAGACCAACTGTTAGAAAATCCCTCATGAAGAACAATGACTTTTGCTCTTTTTTTGCTTATTTTATTATTCCTTTCAAAACAACTGTGCTCTGAAAGGTTCTCTTTGACTTATACATGCCATGAGCAGGAGGTTAAAAGGCCTGTAATTACATCTGACCATTCTAGATTCTCTTCAGGTGACAGTGGGGATGAGGTTCCTCCCATGAGGAAGTCTAGTTTTTAGGATTTATTTAATTAACTGTTCTATTTTTTTCTTTTCTTCCTAAAAGCAGCTGCTCATTCTCTCCAATCTCACTGTCCACCTTATCCATTCCAAAGGAATATGATCCATTCTGAAGTAAAGTACTCTCCAGGTCAAGCTTTCCCCTGATCAGAAGCCCACCAGGACACCTCGTCTTGCTGGAACTGCATAGTGCCAGCCAGAGAAAGAATTGTTCCTGCAAGTATTTTCATTCCTGTTAGGCTGAGTCTCTGGCAGTTTGGATTTTCCTTTCCATTTTTGTCTGTCCCAAGTGCTTTTCCTAGCTTGTTGAATAAATACATTTAAATACTTCCTTTCTTTTTAGCAAAACAATTTAGTATTTCAATGTAAACTTAAAGCAATGTCAGTGTGTAGGTACGCACTGAGCTAGAGCACATACCAAGAGGCTGAGAAACAGGTTCCATTCCTCAATCTACCACTGACTAAATTCGTCATCGTGCTTCAAATTTCACCCATTTGTGAAATGGGATAATGATCCTTCCTTAACTCACAGGGCAAGTCATTACTACTTGGACTTGGTTTCAGATTCTTGAAGAAGAGCTTTTCCATTATATCATTTCCCTGTTTTGGCCAGCCCTTGGAGTACAGATGTGACTGTAGTTCCAACTCTATACCCTATAAGGTGTGATGGCTGGGTTTGGTGACACCACTTGCAACATGCAGGCCCTTTACAATGGATGTTTTTGGAAATAAAATAGGAACTTTTTTAAAGCAAAGCTTTTGTTTGAAACCATTCAAACTTTAGGAAGGTTTATACTTGACTCCAGATCCCCAATTCAGCTGCTTGGGACCATCAAAGAGAAACCTATCAGTAAAAAAAGCATACGAAGTTACAAGAAAAGGGAAGAAAGGGGACAGCAGCTAACAAAAAGATGTAATAAAGAAATAAGTGAGCAGAGGAAAACTAACAAAAGCTCAAAGTTCATCAAACCTGCATGCAAGAAACTGGACTTGTGTCAAAAGTGGAACTGAAGACTGTATTAGGACTGGATTTTCTGTGCTGTGGCTCTTGTCTTTTGCCTCAACTGCCCCCATGCTGATGCACTACAATGCTGACACACACAATACAAAAAGCTGTAGGTACTCTGAGTGACTTGATGGAGGCAGAGAACTGAAATGAATGAGCAAACAGTGCAAATGCCATTCCAATTCACTCCCAGGAAAGCAGTGCCTTAACGATTTCCTAGAGACACGGTAAGCAACAGAAGCAGAGGATTTTTCACTCCTGCCACAACTGTTCAGAACTGTCCAGACACAGAAGGATTTGAAATGATTAATGTTTCATTGTGAATGCCAACCTCCTGGAAAGAGGACAGAGATGTTCCTGCTGCTGCTGCTGCCCCACAAGAGGGAGGTGGTATACATGCACACACATACACACACACACACACACACACACATATATATATATATAAAAAAATCAGCACACAGGCTCTGTCACAAGTCACCCTTTGTTTCTGCAGCACCTGTGGGTGACCGATCCTACACTGAACCTTAAGATGGAAAAACAAACCCAAAACTGATGGATCAGTCCTGAAAGGAGCCTGGAATTGAATCCAGCTCTCTGCAGGTACCGTTGTAATACACAGTCCCTTTTCTAAACTGACATGGTCTGACATTAGTAACCATAAAAATACATATTACTCTATTATTCACTTTGGCAAACATCACCACATAACTTAAACACCATTCTCATCTTCCTCAAACCCACTAACAATTATTTAGTGTGGAGCAGGGAGAGAAGCTGACATGTCTGGTATTTGAAGGCTGAAGTGTTCATGTACTTGAAGAGCTGGAGCTTCCAGTTAATTATCTAACCTTCCTGTTTTATGGAAGTTCTTGTTTTATGTGCCTTCAAGACCTTAATGAATCAAAGCTTACCTGGCATTTGTCTCGTGTGTCAACCTGGTGTTGAACTGTGAATGTTGATCTGAACTGGGACTGGAACAGGCCACAATGGAGCTCAACCTGTGTTTTTAAATTGTCTTGCCCTCAATGTGCTCTCTGCAACTGGATTTTGTGCTGGGAAATGCCTTTTGCCATGTTAATGTGGCATCCAAAGTCCAGACCTAATTCACTTCTATGTGTAAGTACAATATGAGTGTGATCATAATAGTTTTTAATATGTCAGGTTTCTTTCCTGTAACATTGTTTTTAAAGCTGTCATTTGAACCCAGAGGCACTCCCAAGGCATTCTTGTGATTAGGGCTGAAATACCCATACTGACACAGTGCTCCAGAAAAAGGACAGACATACAGAAACCTGCTCTCAGTTACTATTCCACAGAGCCAATTTATCTGTAAATCAAACATGTGGAACACTTTGCTTCACATTATCCTCTTGATGCACCAAAGCAGCATCTAATCAGCTTTCACTCTAACAAATACAGATTTGTGTCAGAAGTGATGTAGGAAATAACCCACAATCTCACTCTGCCCTCTCACAGGAGAACAGGAACAATCTTTTCCCATGAAGGACTCATGTGTTCACTGTACAGAGTAAATACCAGTGCACAGAGGGAACTTTGCATGATATGTAACCTCTGGAGGGATTAGAAACACTTAGTCAAAGATTACGTTACAGTCCTGCAGTACTCTATACAGAACTGCAAGACCAAGCTTGATTATTTGAACATAAGGTGAAAGTAGTACATTCTAAGTGTACATTTAAATGGAAGAATTCTTAGAAGAACCCTGGTAAGAAACAGAATAACTTCTTTTACTTTTGGAGAATGCTTACCATTGCATCATTACTAACGAGAAGATGAGGATTTCTGAAATTCAGGACATTAAAGCTGTATGCCTTAAAATCTTCTCAAAGCTCAACCTAATCAGAGAACTAAAGATTCTCTGATTATATGTAATTATATGTAAGTCTGTAATTATGTGTAGGAGTTTTAGCCGGATTTTCATTCTTGACTGCAGAACTGTGTTAAGACACATTCAGAATTCCTGTTTTGGTTGTTACTCTGCTCTCTCAGACAAGTTCTGTTGATTTCAAAGAGCTTTGTGTACACATGAAAACTGATTAAGAACTGTGAAAGTCCACTGATTCTTGGTCTTTAATTTTAAGCCTCAGGGAATCTGATTTATTCTCCTGAACTTTAATTCTGACATTTTTTCCACTTCTAACTCAAGCAGAAGCAGCAACTTGAAAAACTTCAGTTTCCAAAACAAAAGTACCTTTTTTTTTTGGTTTGACACAGATGATTAGCAGGCAAACTTCCTTTCTGGAGCACAAGGAGTGGCTGAGGGCCCTATTTGGGCTCAAGCTGGAGGAGGCTCAGGGGGGACCTTCTTGCTCTCTGTAACTCCCTGATAGGAGGGTGTAGCCAGAAGAGGATCAGGCTCTTCTCCCAGGAAACAAGCGACTGGACCAGAGGAAACAGACTCAAGTTGTGTCAAAGGAGGTTCAGGCTGGACATCAGGAAGAATTTCTTCTTAGAAAAAGTGGTCAGGCATCGGAACGAGCTGCCCAGGGAGGTGGTGTTGTAATCATCCCTGAAGTGTTCAAGAAATGATCGGCTGTGGCACTTTGTGCTCTTGTCCAGTTGACAAGGTGATCAACCTAGGTTGGACTTGATGAGCTTGATGAGCAGGTCCCTTCCAACCTTAATGATTCTGTGATTCTGTGAAGTTAAAGCCATCTGTGCCGTGGTGAGAGCCATGTGCAGTGCCGCAGCCCCAGGAGCGTGAGGTCGGTGAGCGCTGTGCCTCCTGTGAGGCCCCTTGCCTCCTTCACACCTCGGACAAGAGGCAGCCAGCTCAGCCTTCCCTCAGGAGCTTCCTACACGGCTGGGCCGGCGGACCTGAACTCACCCCTCAGTCTGTGCCGTGTCCCACAGCTTACACCATCACTGCCATCGCAGCACCCTAGGGCATCGCTGGCACTGGTACCACACACTGAAAATCCTGGGGGCTTCTGACAGAGGTGGCGCGGGCCCCGTGCCCGGGGTTTCAATGGGTGAGTGTGAGGGAACGAGTGAGAGGCGGCAAGGAGGATAAAAACTGTGGCACACAACTGCGGGGGCCGGGGGCTAAGCCCCGCTGTCCCTGAGGGTCAGGAGGTGGCGCCGGGAATTCAGCCCCGCTGTCCCTGAGGGCGCTGAGGGTCAGGACACGGCGCCGGGAATTCAGCCCCGCTGTCCCTGAGGGCGCTGAGGGTCAGGACACGGCGCCGGGAATTCAGCCCCGCTGTCCCTGAGGGCGCTGAGGGTCAGGAGGTGGCGCCGGGAATTCAGCCCCGCTGTCCCTGAGGGCGCTGAGGGTCAGGACACGGCGCCGGGAATTCAGCCCCGATGTCCCAGAGGGCGCTGAGGGCGGCGCGCGCCCTTCCCGCCGGCGGGACGTGTCCGCCTGGGCCTCCCGGCCACAGGGCGGCGGCAGAGGGCGCGGAGCCGGAGGGGGCGGCGCTCTCGGTGGTTCCTGAGGTCATCAAGGCGCGACGGCGGAAGGAGCTGTGTCCAACTCCTTTCAGAGCGCTGCCGTCGGGATTGTTTTCAGAAAGACATGACCACACAGGTAATTAGTTAGCTAAGCTAACTGCCGGCTTGAGATGTGTGTGTATGTAAATATGTATATATATAGGCTGGTAATGTGTAATATTAATTATTTTTTTCTTTCTAGTACGGTATTCTCTTCAAGCAAGAGCAAGGTGAGCAAACGCTAACGGTATTAAACAGTGTTGGTGTTCTGGGGTGATATAAAGGTGGTAAAGGCAGGTATGTGAGGAGGTCTCCTGTGTGAGGAGACCTGGTTATGTTTATATTAGGCATTAATCTGAGTAACTCAAAGGTATCTGTGCTGCTTTTTCAGCAGTGATGCTGGTCGCATAATAGATTGCATGTTTTGGAAAAAAGTAAACAGTGACAAGGCTCTCGGAGCACTCAATAGACCTGAGGAGCAGGGGGGTCTCTTGGCAACATCACAGCTAGCCATTTCAGCATTACCAAATCTGGCTGTGATCTTCTGTCAAAAGAAAATACTTAGTTTTTAATTACTGTGTTTATATTCTCTTCTAGCTCACGATGATGCCATTTGGTCAGTTGCCTGGGGAAAAAATAAAAATGATGGGTCTGAAACAGTGATCTCTGGCTCTTTGGATGATCTGGTGAAGGTCTGGAAGTGGTAAGTACTCCATGTTAACCTGCGTTAGGCCTTGGAAATACTCTGTGTGGAACAGTCTTGAATTCCCACAGCCTGCAGGGATGTTAGAAGTTACCTTAGGGAAGAGGTAGCATGGCACACAGCTGCTTCTTTGAGCAAACTTATCTCCACTGGTGTGTGCTTTCTCTTGGAGTAGTGGCATGCAGGTGTGTGTAACTTTTCTCTAAGAACTCTGGATTTTTCTGGATCTTAAAACTAAGTATCAGAAAAAAGGGCACACACTCTGTGTCTCAGACTCCAACATTGTGCTTTCATTTTCAAAGAATGAGAATGCTTCTGAAAATGCATGTTAGAGAATACTTTATGTGCTCCTAAACCAAAGAATAAGAAATGCATTTTCTGATGAGACAGTGCATTTGGAGATGTGTACTGTGAAAGTAATAATGGGAATAGTCAGAAAGAGGAAATTACATCTTTCTTTTTTATTGAAAAAAAGATCCTGATAATCCTTATGGAAGTGTGCTTTTGCAAAGAAGTTATTCTGTCTCTCAGGCAAAGCAGTGTGAAGGATGTGCTTCACTTCTGTGACAGGTTTAGCTTGGTTGGGGTGACTGAAAATGTCAATCATGGCACTTCGTGCTGAGCTCACAGGTGAACATCAGCTCTGTGAGCACCCACAGACTGGTGTTTGATGCACATTTTTTGGTGGGATGGCTTCCAAACTTAGGATGAAGTACCTGCTTTGCAGGAATATTGTAAATTATTGATTTGTCAGTTCTTTAAGTACAGAGAGCTTGTGTGTAGCCCTTCACATTTTATGGGAGGACTTGGATCGCCTTGTGTTGAACAAATGAAGGAATGTGAATTGTTTGTTTTGTGTGAGGCTGGGGATCATTCAGCACCCCCAGCACTTCCTAACGAGGCTTTTCTTTCCCTTGCATCCAAGGAACGATGAAAAGCTGGATCTGCAGTGGACTCTGGAGGGTCACCAGCTGGGGGTGGTGTCTGTAGACATCAGCCACACGGGTGCCATTGCAGCATCCAGCTCCCTGGACGCCCACATTCGCCTTTGGGATTTAGAGACTGGCAAACAGATCAAGTCCATAGATGCTGGTCCTGGTAAGATACAGTGCTGAGCTTGGCTCTGCAGGACAACAGTGTGACTCTTCCTGGCAAATACTGAACACTGGGGGATTGGGGTGTATGAGCAGATTAAGGTCTTTGGGGAATTTAATCTTTTCTATATTTGCAGGAGTCTTAAAGGTTTTATGAACTCAACACAAAGCAGCATCAGACAATTTTACATTTATTTTTACACACTTCTTGTGCTTTCTCAGGTACACATAGTTGGCTTTTTGCTGTATGCATAAAGAATGGAAACCAGCTTGCTCTTACACATGTATTGGTGAAGGGATATTTGGAAGAAATAATTCAAGTACTTATTCAGATAGATCTAAAAAGGAGCTCTGGATATTCTTCATAACAGTGCAGTGAATTTCAACTGTGGATATGATCCTTTTTTATCCAGCATGTCCAATCCTGAGCAAGCAAGTCAAAACAGTTATCAATGGTAACAGTGGTAATGTTCTCCAAGCTGGAATTCAGGGCCTAAGGTCTTATTCCAAGTATTTAATGAGTCCACTGGGAGTCAAAAATTTAAGAACAGTCTTGCAGTGTTTTAGGAAATTAATATTAAGCTTTTAGGAAAAAAAAAAAACTGTGAATTATATTGTGCCAGATAAATACATTGCATTGCTATGAAGAATGATGGTTTTTTACATTCAGTTGCAGGAATGTTGTCTGTGTTACATTTGTGTATCTGCGTTTCTCCTGCATCTTCTGTGCTTTGCTACATACTAGTGTTACTTTTTTGGTAGTTTCAATCTTTTGGTACCAGGAAAAAAGTAAGAATTTAGACTTAACTGATGCAGTCTTAAATTCTAAATTGATTGTTACACGAGGGTCTCATAAGATCAGGGTCTTACTGGAAATGTAATCTTTTACTAAATGTAAGTAAATGGTTCAAGATATGCTCCATAGAAGGGGTAACTGATGGGCTTGTACACTCCTAGGGGCTTAAACAGCTAAACAGGTGCAGACAGAATTGCCACTGTTGAAGAAGAGCCAAGAACTGGATCCAGCTAACTGGTTTTTATTTTTTAATACAGTTGATGCTTGGTCCCTGGCTTTTTCGCCTGATTCCCAGTATCTTGCAACAGGAAGTCACGTGGGGAAAGTAAATATTTTCGGTGTTGAAACTGGAAAGAAAGAATATTCTCTGGACACCAGAGGAAAGTTCATCCTTAGCATTGCATATGTAAGAAGCACAGTTGATAATTCCTTACAAGAAATTGCTATTGCTGTAATATGTTGTAAATAGGTATTTTTGTTTCCCTCTATCAGTTTATCTCTACAATAATACTAAGTGACAGCCATAGTTCCAAATACAAATTGGGTGACATTTCCCCCCTGAACAGCTGGAAAATATATTTGGATCTTGCTTATAGTCTTCAGGATTTTTGGAGCCTAGGTATCTTGCAAAGATCATTATTTGTGAAAAGCTGCCAAGGGAATGTCAGGGCTTACACAGCATAAATGCACACAGATGTTGAATCACATTTTTTGTGTTTTATTACAGAGTCCAGATGGAAAATACTTGGCCAGTGGAGCAATAGATGGCATTATCAATATTTTTGATATTGCAACTGGAAAACTTCTGCATACGCTAGAAGGTATGGTTTGGTTGTTTGCAGTACCCAAATTCTGGCCTCATTTCTGACAAAATTAAAGGATATAATGCAAGTCAGAATAAGCTACAACAGCCATGGCAAAAGTGTGTTGACATTTTTGACCATTAGACAGTATTTAGCTATTTAGTGTGCTTTAACCTAAATCGTTTAAAATATTAGAGGCACACTGTAAACTCAGGCTTCCATCATAAATGCCTTTTTGAAAAGATACAGTCAATAATGCTTAACTAAATTTTTAAGTTGTAGCTCCTGGTATTGCAGAAAAGTACAAGGGCATGAAGCCAATTCAAATGTGTGCTGTCATGCATATGGTTTTTGTTTTTCTTTGGGTATTTGTTCTGAAGCAAGTTTTTGTTCTAAGAAATAACTCACCTTTTTATGTTGTAGAAGACATGCATTTTTTTCTAAGAGATAAATGGGCTTTTAATGTTTGTGAAGTTTCTGCCCAGTTGTAACCAAAACCCCAACCACATAAATATGCAATCATACTATAAAATATGACATAATTTCTAATAAAGACTCACAGCTGAAGGAAACTAGTTACTCTGTGTTGCAGACATGCCTTAACATATACACAGTTGAGAACTGCTGTCTGTTTCCACTTTCTGTTGTGGGAAGAAGCCTCTAGAGAGAAGGAGGCTTCAGAGGCTGCTGTCTCTGAGCAGGCAGTGCTGTTGTGGCACAGCTTGCTGAGCGCTGGCCTTAGTGAGAGGAATGCCAGTCCTGTTCCGTGTCCCTGTGCCTGCAGGCCACGCCATGCCTATCCGCTCGCTGACCTTCTCCCCTGACTCCCAGTTACTCGTCACCGCCTCTGACGATGGCTACATCAAAATCTACGACGTGTGAGTGGGGACTGCCAGCCCTGCTGGCAGGAGAATAACTGTTTAGAGAAGCTGATACTGTGAAACATAGATCAAACCCTCGGCTTTCCAGAATTCCTTTCAGCTTTTGGTGACTTTTTTATGTAAAAAATAATCTTAAATCATAAAATACTACATCCTTAGTTTTTAAAAGTGTAGAGGTAGAAAAAAGCTGTAACTTGAAAAAAAATTGCTTTCCTCATATTTGCCTGTAGGCAATAAGCTAATTCTTCCATGTGTCTGTCCTGTGAACTTGTGTTCGCCCTTCCTAAACATCTGTTCTGTAGAGAAGAAATTATATTTATGACCTGTTTCTGTTGCATCTTGCAATACCTTGGAAGACCCTGGGGAGGAAAAGGCCCTGATTCAGTGGTCTTCACCTCCTAAACCTGTATTGCTTTGGCTTTGGTGAAACTATTTGTCCTCCAGTGTATCTCCTTTGTGTCTTCTTTTTATGTTAACTATTTGAAATGGAAAAGCAGGATCTGCTGTAACACCAGTTCAGCTTGGATGAACAAATGTCCAGAAGTCACCTTCCATTGAACCATTCTTGATTGTACTAGCTAGAGTATATTCCTGTTGCTTTTTCCCTGGAATTCACAGAGCAAATGCTGACATGTTCTTTCCACAGGCAACATGCAAACTTGGCTGGCACATTAAGTGGTCATGGCTCCTGGGTTTTAAATGTAGCGTTTTGTCCAGATGATACCCATTTTGTTTCCAGGTATTGAGGCTTTTTAATTGTTTATGATTACTGAAAAAAAAAAAAGATTTTAGAAGGGGAGATGGATCATAAGAATTAGGTGTGTGCAGTGGGGTCTGTAATGAAATAACATAAAATTTAAAGATTCAAGCCAATCTGTGATGTGATACCAGCTGCAGTGACAGCATTTTACAAAGTCATTCCACTGCAGTGTAGTTCCTGACAAGTGAATAACACCTAACCTAAGAGAAGGGCAGTTTGATTCTAAATAGCTGAGAAATTGCTGTTGAATCAAGAATTACAACCTAAACTACTAGTACATTAATCTACTCGAACTTCAGTATTAATTCTTAAAACAGCTGAGGGAGCTGGGGGGCCAAGTATATGTAACAGGAATTTCCTTATCCAAAGAACTTGCCTGAAATAATTTTTTGGCCAAAATGGGAGTCTTCATTTACACATTGCAGATGTTGAAAGAGTAAACTGATTTTAAAGGTAATGGAACCTGGTGGAAGAGGCAGTCCTTTGCTACTTCATCCCTGTATTTGATGGGTGAAAGAGGGTTTCTTATGTCTACCATATGAGACCCTCTCATGTTTGCATTAAACTTTAGTTAATCTATTAATTTAAACATTGATCATTATTATTTTTCTTTCAGTTCATCTGATAAAAGTGTAAAAGTTTGGGATGCTGGAACGAGGACCTGTGTCCATACTTTCTTTGATCACCAAGATCAGGTATGGCTACTATTCCCTAAGTCAGCATGTTCCCAGGAGAGCTTGGGTAGTTGTGCACATTTGTGCTTCATCTTGGTGCTTCAGCTCCAGACTTGCAGTAATGCAGCTTTAGCTTGCTGTAATGAAATTTTAGAAGTTGTGGTTATTTAGCACTTAATATTGAAGTAGTACTTCTAAGTGTATATGCTAATCTCTTCCAAGTAATTAACATTTTTCAAGCCCAATTAAAGGCAAGCCTGAGTGGCCTAAGTCTCACCAGACTCTGTTACCTTTGTCTCTGTTCTTATTTCTGTGACAGAAATAAGCACAGCATGTGCATCTGTAATGGTGGAAATACTTATTTAAAAGGATGGAATTACCTAAACAGATGCTTTAAAGCAGCCTGGAAACTTGGGAGTTCTTCCTCCTCCATTGTCTGTAATAGTGTGGGGTTTTAATTTCTTGTTCAGTGATAGCTTGTTCAGTGAGGGAAGGACATTTACCCATTTACTCTTTGTCCAAATGTCAGGTGATAAATAGAACAATATTTTAATGGATCACTGAGCAAGAAACACAGCATATTCTTCCAGATTTTATTTGAATGTTTTCTTCCTTAGTACTTTCTTGCTGGTAACCTTTTCGGTTATCTATAGCTATGGGGGTTTTAATATTAAAGTACCAAGTGGTCCTTGATTTCCCCTGTTGTTTTGGCTGTTGTGTATAATCTCATTCAGTCTGTGGCAAACAGAGATGTATCAGTTACTGGGAATGCTGGGTTTGGGTATTAATGCTAAATAGCATACAAGATTGCCCAAAACATACTGTTGTCAAGGCACCCATTCTGCACTTCACGTTAACGTGCTGGGTAGCTTTCACCCTTCCTGATGTCATTCTGATGGAGATGGGTGTCACTTAAGAGCTTGTGTAACTGTCTTAAGTCAGAGGACTGACCTGAATTCTTTCTAAATTTTGTACTGGTAGGTAAACAGTTCTCTGAAAGAGCTCAAGGATAAATTAGGTCATTCTTCAGTCTGTCATGATGTGTCATGACAAATACTTCCTCTCTTGCTTTCCTGTACTGTAAAATACTATTTTCAGAAAGGGCTAGAGGATGGACAAGCGTGAAGATGCTTGGGTTATTTATGCAAACTGGGGCAAGGACTCTTCAGCCCTGATCAAGTATCTTTGGCTAGTGTAACCACTTGTAACCCACTGTGGGTGGGAGTGGCTGTAGGAACTCATCAGGCTCCTAGAGGGCAGTGTCCTGCTCTGCTTCGGCAGCCCGAGCTGGTTAGAACTGCACCAGTTCTAATCAGGTGACTTTTAAATAATCCTTCCTCTACTGCTTGCAATAAATATGAGTGCCACAAAGATTATTTTTCTTTGTCCTTTCTTCATAAACTTGCATATGTCTTATTTACAGGTTTGGGGAGTGAAATACAATGGAAGTGGGTCCAAAATTGTGTCTGTTGGTGATGACCAAGAAATTCATATTTATGACTGTCCAGTTTAAATGTCTCGATTCAGATGCTTCAGTAAATCTCCTGTAGCAGTTACAAGGGACTGCTACTGTCTTATGTAAATTTCTAGTAAGATAAAAGCATTTCGTACTGATCAGCAAAACCTGATATCATCTAATTTTGATTTTGTTTAGCATAAGAAAATAAAGCCTTAATTTTTTAAAATAAAAGCTACAGCTCCAAGTCCTTGTGTCTTGATTCTTGGAAAAAAAGTATTTTTGGAAATATGTAGTCATGGGTGAAGTAACCGCTCAGTTAATCGCCCCTGCCTTTAAACATAAATAGACCAGAGCTGGAAAGCATGGGCTAAGTGTCACAGCAGCTTATTTTAGCAGAAGGAAAATGACTGAGGCTGTGTTATAGATTTGGGAAATGACAGCCTTGGCTTGTCCTGATGCTAAGACCAGTGACTGCAAGAGAAGCACTTAAGTTCAACACCTGTTTCAACAATTGCATGGTACATGGATATAGATCATTCATCATGCTTTAAAGTCACTAAAGGGAAGCACCTGCTTAATACAAACACTACCAGAAAATAAGTAGAAGGGAAAAAAGCTTTAATGGGATCAGTGTACTGTGCGATCATGTATGTTATAAAACAGCAGCAGTATACCCAATGCAGGTGGTTTCAGTTTATTCATTTTCATTAAGGCACAAGTATACAATGCCTAGGAGGGAGTCAAAACCCTATCTAGGGAAGGCTGAAATACAAAGCTTGAGCTTCTGAAAGGTCGAACTTTTATTTGGAAGTATTTGCTTGTAAGTAACATTAGAGGACAGCTTGTAACCTTAGGTCACACACAGAGAGGCAGCTGAAGGAATGCTACTCTCCAACACACAGAACACAGGAAGAGGGCTATGAGGCAGAAACAAGGCCATGCACAAAATGCTTTTGAAATGCAAAATGAGACAGGTGGGAGTGGTGCAGCTAACACAAAGCTTAATATTGAGAATAATCTAGACTACGTGAGGAGTCTGAGCCTAGAAGAACTTGTTTAAACAAAGGGGGTTCCAGAGTGGCTTAGAAAAGAACAAGAGAAGCATGAGAAAAGGTGAAGTACTATTTATTAGAAGTTATTCTGCTATGTTTTATTCTATGAAATTAATTTTCCAATATGAAAGTATTTACATAAGACACTCCACTTAGCCTCTATCAATATTGCTGAAGTCTTATAGAAACAGCACAGGTGAAATTAATTGAGAACCTTCACAGCAAGGAAAATGCATACCAACTCAGTTGGTTCTCAGCTGTATGACATTTGCTTTATATAGAAAGACTACAAGAACACAATATAAATTAGTTACAAAAAGGTGATACTGACAGCGCAGCAACTCAATTTGCTGAACACAAAAACCACAAGCAGTGGCTATTACAGCCATGCAGTTTTCATTGTGAAAATTTACATCTTCAATGACATCCACTCCACCTTACTTTAAGATGTCTGACATTGTACTCCTGTTCTTGGACCCTCCTCATCTTCTTCATACGCTTCTCCCGCACTGTTACGGTAGGTTTGCTCATTTGGATCAAAATCTTCAAGGTCTACCTGGTCCATCTCATCTGTAACCATAACATCTTCTCGTGAAGGAAGCAGAGCCTCCAGCAGAGACAGTTTCTCCCTTGGGAGCCAGTAGTGCTCTGGAAACTGGACCTGTAATTTGACAGATTTTTTTTAAAATGAGTATTTATTCATATGCAAACATGAGTATATTGGCAATAGAAGAGCACACAGCTTACCAAAAATTGTATAATCAGACTGCCTTTGTCCATTGGAGATTTGTAGACCGGCATCCCTTCGTTGTAGATACACTTTAGATCACCATGTTTTATTACTTCACCTATGGAGGGGAGAACTTTTAAGTGTGCTGCTGTGATGGGACAGGCATTTCACAGCCACTCACAAGCAGTGTTCTCACAGCACCTCAGGGAGATCGTAACCAATTCACAGGAAAGAACTAAACCCAACCTGTACAGAACTAAGGCCATTTAGACTATTTCCCCTGCTGTTAACAGAAATCAGCTTTTCTTGGCACAGCCTTCAGTGTGAATGAACAGAGAATTCAGTAGAATTTAAGATTTTTGCCTCTTTAATTTTCCTGGCTATCCACTAGCTGGGGCTGAGGTTTATTAAGAAGTATTTGACAGCTTTAGTAATAACTCTGTGTGCTTCAGAAACAGCAACAACAACAAAGAACCGATTAAACTGAGTGCCTTGTAAACCTGGTTGCATCATCTAGTTAGAAAAAGGAAACCCCAAATAGGACACTTTTCCCCCCAAAACTCCAGTCCAGGTACAATTAAATACGCAATCACTTGATAGTTTACATAGTCTTAGAACTCTTAAAAGACCTACCTGGCCTAGTAGATATGACAAGAACTCTGTTGTCCAGAGTTTCAATTGTCTTCCTGAAACCACATAAGGCCTCCGAGAGTTGAATTCTCATTTTTGTAATTAAGTCATGCCCTCGTCTCTGAAAGACACTGTGATCCTTTTGATCAAGCACAATTATGACATCACCAGGCTCCAAATCAGGCTCCTGGTCACCTTCTCCATGAAATACTATTTTCTGACCATCTTTCATACCTGAAGAAAAGAAATCCATTTATTCTCTGCAGAGCTATGGACTATTATAGACTATTATTAGGGAATCAGTACAAATATACAGTTCTTACCTTTATCAACATGAACTTCTATGATCTTTTTCTCTCTTACAACCTTACAGCCATTGCAGTTGTCACACCTGTCCTTCGGATTTATTCTTTCACCTTGGCCTTTGCATTCTGGACACACAGTTTGGATTTGCTGCACCATGCCAGGTCCAATCTGCTGAACTATAACTTGCATCCCTCTTCCTTTACACACAGGACATTTTTCAACTGCCCCTCTCTTTCCGCCATAACCTTTGACAAAAGAGTTAAATTGCATCTCAGTCTCAAAAAATTACAGTATCAGGCTGGAACTCGCTGACTCCAAGAGCATATTTAGAGTAACTTAAGAGTAGTTCAGTAATGGAATTTAGTTGTCATCACAAAACAAAGCCCACAAGCTGGAAGTCTCTACAAACAAAATGCTTATACAGCTTATTCTATTAGACTCTGCCTGCCCCCCCCAGTAAATCCTGGTTTCCAAGGAACTGTCAACATACCAAATTCAAGACATAAACATTCCATTAATACTTGGAAAAGAATCTGCTTACTAAATACTTAACAGAGTACTAAGACAGAAGACCATATTAAAATTTACCTCAAAGAGGACTGTCATTAGGGAGTACCTAGTAACCATAAAATTGGTAGCTTAACACAAGCCAGACTTCCACCCACAGCAATTAAAGAAGTTTTTCAGAATAGACATCTCCATCCAAGTTCTAGGTGAAGGTAAGTTTAATTTAGGTACCCCTAACTGCAACTCACAGTGAGTTTTAGCTTGCTATTAGAACAATCAAATAGTAACACTGTGCTTGAGAGACTTATTCTTGAATAAGCATAAGAAGTAAACATACTGGGAGACTTTCAGGGATCAAGCAAAGAAAAAAGAGAAGAAAGCCTTCAGACTTTTTTCTCAGCCCCAGATAATCAACACACACACAAAAAAAAACCTTGAAGAGAGGTTTGAAACCACTACTTGTTTTTTTTTTACCTTCACACTTTGCACAAATAACATTCTTTTGCAGTGCCAGTTTCCTTGTAATACCATTATACAGGTCTTCAAGAGATACACCTAACTGGTGTACCACATTTTTGCCTTTAGAAAAAGAAAAGGGAAATATTAATACTTGTTTAGCTCTTGTGAACACAAATGTTCATGCATAGTCTCACTGAAGAAATGCAGAGTTCATTCCAAGCTTTGAACACAATTCAGCCCCCTTAAAAGCATGTGCAGTTCCATCAGCTTCCATTAAGCTCCACCCATTTATTTCCAAACATAAAAGTTGAGCTGTAATTAAGCAAATCATTAAAGCCACCCTATCCCTGCTCCTACTCCTGATTTTATAAGCTTGAAACAGCAAGATGCAAGGACACTACCAGCTTTACATCTATCAATTTAGAAGTTGCTATTTATGTCTGCCTATGAATTTTCATGCCACTTCATAGCATAATTTCAGTGATTTTACAGCAAGTTACTACTTGTGCCTTTAACAGGCATTGGGCATGAAAAAGACAAAAACCTTACTGTGCTTTTGGCAGCACATTGTACTCAGTTGCATGTGATTTTTCCCAAATATTTTAATGAGATTTAAAATTACTGAAGTTTAAGTTGATGGTGTCCTTTGAAGCAAGTTGCCCAAAAGCATATGAGCAAGTGAGGCACAGATTTAGAAAAAAGGTAACTTAAAGAGGTCTAAGTCAACTGCTAACTTACTCATGTTTCCCCCTCCCCTACAGACTACCCATTCCCCCTTCAACAAAAATAAATAGAACTTAGCAAAAAGATGGCTATGGCTAAGTAAGCCATGTTATCTACTTTATTAGAATCTTAATGCTAGAGTAACTAGAAAAATCATCATTTACTTATTCTATTGCTGCAACAAGTAATATCCACACTATGTAAGCTCATCAGAACAGCAATACCATAGCACAGGTGTTTTATGCTTAAGTGCATGGTTAAGAGTTTCTAGAACTTGTTTAGAACTGTGTACCTCTTCTCTCTCTATTCATTCGGCCTCCACCACCAAAGAACATGTCAAAGATGTCCATGGGTGAAGAGAAGCTGCCGCCACTCAGGCCTCCTTCTTTAATAGCCTGCTCCCCACCCTGGTCATAGAGGTCCCTTTTCTTTGGGTCCGACAGAACTTCATATGCCTGGGATATAAGTTTAAACTAAAAAGAAAAAAGAAGCTCTGAACAGCTATGACCAAGAGGAAAAGTAGCCCCTCTCACATACAACTCCATCTACAGATTGAGCCACTACAGCACCCTCTTATAGCATTTGTTTCCAAAAGGAAAATCCCTGGGTAACAGACTGTAATAGTACTTTTATCCAGGAAAACCACCCCTTTCCTCCCTCTCCCCCCACCTCCCAATGTTTTAAGTGGGCTTAATTCAGTCATATCCACCTTACCAGTAAGTATATGCCAGCTACATTGTGTTGATTGTGTTAGTTGCAACAGATACTATAACCTCTAACAAATCTATTTAGAAAGGAATATGGCACTATCCCTGAAGTCCTGCAGGTGCCCAGCTGCTCATGGCCACAGCACTGCTAGTCAGCCTAGACCTACACAGGGATCCTCCATGCCTGCTGAGCTGGTACATCCGCCTACAACAGATTTATGTGACCAGACACTGGCGTTGCTTACTCATCACAAACACAAGGATGTAAATACATATCAAAACACTCACTTTAACAAAACAATTATTGAATTTTCTTAAATAGCTATGAAGAACTTCCTATTACGGAGATTACCAACTGAATTTTTAAACACAATTTGCTATTACTTGAATGACCACTTCCACTTTAAACTTCATTTATTCCTGGCCATGTAAAGTGGTGTAAGCAAAAAAAGCAGGCCCAAAATAAAAGCAGGAAAAGTTACCTTTGACTAGGCTACTGCTCAAGTTCTGTAAATTAGCATTATAGACACGTAAATATAGTCCTTCTATTCCTATAATAAGGTATTAGCAGACCATTTTTAGATAAACAATCCCATCATTCATGTTTTCCACAGCACTCCAGTTGTGCTCGTTTATTATCCAAGCCAACACAGGCAGCTGAGCAGGTCAGTGCTGGTAGCATATAAAATGCTTCTCGTGTAAGCAGTCCATTTTTCTCTGGAAAAAACCCATCCCGTTCAGAAACACAAATCCTCCAGCACAGAAGTGCTCGCAACTGGATCCACTACCAGCCTTTTCAACGTCTGAGAGCACAGCAGCCACTGGCACACTAGAAATCCTTCCAGCCTTGCCTGTTTTAACCAGCTCCAATAAGGACAACCTTCCACCCTCACTACGCGGAAACTGGTACACACCGCATCCAAAATGAAGAAATGCCGCATCCTCTTTGCCACAGCTGAGGCTCACAGGTCTGAATAGAGACCTGGAAATAGGGGAGCCTTCACGCACTACGCTCCACAAACAGCAAAGCAGAATTTGAACTACGATTGAGTGTACACTGGATTTAAAAACAGCTTGGCTATAGGGGACCCCCGGAGCCCCCGCGGGCGGCCCCACACAGCCTGCGGTGAGCCCGGCTCAGGGAAGGGCCGGACGGGGCCTGCCCCGCGCAGGGGCCGCAGGTGCCGCCGGGAACGCGGCCGCCTCACGATGGGTGGGTGGGTGGCCTACAGGCCTCGGCCCAGCCCCGGCCCCACGTACCCGCTCGCCCTCGCTGGGGTTCTTGTCGGGGTGGTACTTCAGCGCCAGCTTGCGGTAAGCGCGCTTGATCTCCTCGGAGGAGGCATTAGGCTTCACCTGCAGGATGTCGTAGTACTCCGTCTCCTTCACCATGGTGGGTGCCTGCGGGAGATCGCGCCGCGTTACCCCTGAGTCACCCCGCGCTCCCCCTCCCGGCGCCCCGCCGAGGCCCCGCGGGCCGCGCTCACCACCGCGGTTACTCCGCTGCAAGTAACGCTGCTGCCTCCGCTGCCCGCTCAGCGATCCCGGCGGCCCCGCCTCTTCCGCGGGCTTTATACGGGCCCCGGCCGAATCTTCTGGAATGACGCCGCGCGTGACGTCACAGGGTTGGAACGGTCTAGAACGGCGGCGCGTGACGTCACCTGCGGTGCGCGCAAGGGGCGGAGCCTCGTGCCGGGCCCGGGGTTTGTAGTCAGTGTTTAATTTGGGGCGGCACGGTCAAGCGTCGTGACTGGTTTTAATCGCTGAGTCCGTACAGCTGAGGCTCTCCTGGGCCCGTGCCTGGCATTCCCTGAGTACAGCTCACACAAACCAGTACTCGCCAATGAGTACCGAGGAGTTGGCACTGGAAGGAAGCTGTAAATTATTATCTATGCCAATGTGGTAAAGCATGTCTATTCTCACCTTTCTTACTGTTAGATTTCTATGTAATACCATTTATCAATAAAAGTTCCAAAATAATTATAACTTTACTATATGGAAGCTTTAGGTGCACCTTCCATTTGGGTTAAAATGTGACTACTCTATGGAGTTAAAAATATATAAAAAAACACCCCATATTTTATACCTTTTCATTGTAGAAATAATCTGTTCAGTCTAATTCAGAAAGCTTCCACCTGTGTCAGCTTTAGACAAAAGGAAAATACCGTGGGCCCAGCAGGGGCTCGGTGTCCTCCTGAGGTACCGGGTTTCGCCTGAGGGGGCCTCTCACGGCCTCTGCCCCAGTTGGCGCTGCTTTCTCTCCCTGCTCTGTGAATTCCATTAATTCGATTCTGGGAGAACCTGGTGAGCACCCTGGTACAACCTGCCCCACGCTGTGTGTTAGATCTTGTTCGGGTTAATTAGTAGATGGCTCTCCTTATGCCTTGTTCCTCAGTATTTTGGGCCTTTTAAGTAAATTGGGCTAATGGTGTACCCCTGCTCTACCCTGAAGATTATAGATTTATTCTCCTCGGCTAAATCCTACTTTGACTTTAAACCTAATAGCATCATTGAGTAGGGACTATGTTGCTTGTGTCTTACTGACATACAGGATACATCTGTATAATGTTTCTTTTATAGCATGAAGGCTATTTAGCCTCTTCTCTTCTGGATTTGGGGGAGTAATCCTCAGGTAATAATTGATCTTGTGATAGGCCGTCTTCTTCCTGTCGAAGGCAACAGAACTTAACCAGGTAACCCATCTCTTGGAGGTGGGAGTGGAGAAGTGAATTTTAGAAGAGTGTATTTTAATGTTCATGTTACCTTTTAAGTGTAAAATAATCCTGCTGGGTGCTGTCTCCTTTCTGTCCTAGGCAGTACAAAAAGAACACGTTGTTTCTTCTACTTGTTGGTCTATCACTGGAATGGTGTCTTCTAAATGAGAACTCTCTCTATCTCTAGAGTTTTTGGAAGTACTTAAGATTAGAACAAGACATCTCATGGGAAATATTTTAGCTTCTGATTGTTAGAAGCTCGTCATTATTGCTCTGTATCTGTTATTTGCCCTTTCCTCAAGGTGGTGTGCCTGGAGCAGACTTGGAAGCTGGGATAGTTTTCATCTTTCTCCACGTAACTGAAGGTCCTCAATTAATTATTTACTGCTCAGGAGGAAGGAGATAACAGGTACTTGTGTGCCCCTGAGCAAAAGCATATTTTCATAGAAGATAACAACTTACACTGAAAAATCTCAAGTGAAAAATACAGAAAAGCTGCATGAACTGAGAACAGATTTTGCTCAAACTGGAGTTGAATAGAAATGCTTACAAGCTGCTTTTTTATTCCAGGGAGCAGTTCTTATTCCTGGGAATAGTCTAAGGAAAGCAGGGCATCTCCTGTGATTATGATAACCCTAAGGTTCCAGTGTCCTGTCCTGCCAGCCACAGCCCAGGTAAAGAGTCAGGATGACTCTGAAGGAGAGCGCCCTGTTGTGTTGTCTAATAGTGAGAAATGGGGTAGGAAAAGCAGCAGTGTGGGATTGGAATGAAAATTTTTCATCATTTAGAGCTCTGGTGCCATTATAATGAACTTCCTACTGTATTTCAGGTAAATATTATTGGAAGATTGAATTAATACAATCTGATAATATTAAGCATATAAATTTACTGAAGGGGGGGACTAATTATAGAAAATCAACAGAAATATCAACAAAGGGAACAGTTCAAAACCACACAAAAGAGATCAGTGTTGGTAACTATTATTTTTCCTAAGCATAATTGTCAGCAGCTGGACATGTAAATCTGTGTTTTGCAATTGTGAAATTATATCAACAAGTAAATACAGAAACTATTTTCTAAAAATATTTATGATAAATTATTCTGTGAACTTGTAGGCCAAGAACCTTTTTAAGGCAAAGAAAGGCTTATTCTCATAATGGTCTTCACTTTAAAGATAAATTAGCTATAATCTGTAGTTCTGAACATAATATTTCCATTTAAGAAGAAACAATATATCTGTTTATAGCTTTGTAGTAGTTGAATGCTTCAGTAGATGAGAAGCTTTCAAAGCACATAATGAATTTTTAAGATCCATTTTTAGTATGTTTGTAAAAAGAGTATAACGTTTCTTTGAGTAGAAATCTTCATGTAGGTGTGTGTAGGTACTGATAAATATAACTCACACTGGTGGATGGTTTCTTACTGTTAACATTTGTTACTTGTAAAAATGGCCAAAAACTTGTCTGGTTTGGATCTTTGCTTAAGAGAATTGAGACCCCTATTTAATTTACTTTCATTTTATTAGGGAGACCTATCAGGTTATATTTACTTTAATATGTAGTCTTTTTTTTTCTCTGTCTTTGGTTCCAGTAGGTGCAATCAAATCGTTATTTATTCAAATAATTAGTGGGAAAAGTAGTAAGGGTTGGTGTTTGAGATTATAAAACCAGGAGAGATACCATTCCATGGATATTTTTTGCATCATCGTGTGCATCTCTTGTCTGAGTGATGCAGTCATTCTGATACCTGGGGGAATACAGTCCTGTAGCTGTCTGAAGCAAGACATTTTCTATCTATCAGTACTGTATTTATGGAACTGGAAATCTTCAGCAGCTGGTTTTGTCATGATTAGTAATAAATGTGATGTAGCCTCTACACATGCAGATGTATTTCTCAGCAATTACAGTGGTGGTTCCTGTACTCAACCAGACTGGTGATCAAGAGTGTATATGCCCAATTCTGTTTCTTATGGTGCACACCTTGCCTTCTTAGGTCTGTGGTTGTTGCTAACCAGCAGTTGCTTACCCATTTTTCAGATTAACAACTAATTTCATTTACTATTCTTTTCTTCCCTTTTGCCACATGTAACATGAATCACCTTGTCATTTTTTACTTGCACAGTATCAAATTTGCACATGGGTGTCAACAGGAAGACAAGCAGAGAATTTCTGTTCTCTGCAAGGAGGCAGGACTGGACTGGGAATGGGGAGTAAATAGATCTGGAGCCTGTTTTATTTAACCACCAGAGGACTCTGGTTCTGAAACAGGCACAAAACAAGAGTTAAAACTGCTTCCCCCCGACCTTGGGACCATGCAGCATCTTTTTATGCTACAAGAATTATATTTTAATCCCATTGTATAAATCACTGCTAGAATCTGCTTGTTTGCATTTCTTTTATCTGGCTGTATTACTATTTCTCATTCTTGTTGAAAGCAGCATCCTGGGGACACAGGTAAGAGAACAATCTGCTAAACTGCAGCTGCAGCTTCTTGCAGCACCCTTGTTTTTTGTAAAGAAGTTCCATAAATAACTTTTATTACAAACACCAGGAATAAAGGTCAGGAATCTGAGGAATTGTGTCTCTTTCCAGTCACACTAAATTTGCATAAAGAGCTTCAGGATTTCCTCTGTAAGGTGAAATTAGTATCACAGCAGACTTTCCTTCGTGCTGAGCTGGATTCTTTCAAGCATCCAGTTCTCAAAAGTTACTACAATTTCTATGAACATCTTAGGAAAATATCCTTTAAATAATATTTTTTAAGCTAAGATTTTTAGTCTTATTAAAAATATGTGTTAAGCAGTAAAGTATGACTGTTTCATGTAATGAATCTGTAATGGTCCTGGGTCCATAATTAATATATGAAAAGGATATTTTGTACAAAAACAAACTCCCTGGAAAATCTTTTTGCCATAGATGGAAAGTAAAAGATCTGTATCTCTGAGAAAAAATGTAAATGATGGCATTTGTTTTGAGCTATTTTAGAGCAGTGTATAGTGAGTGACTAGCAGTCACAGCTTTCTCTAATCTGAGTTTCTTAATTAGAAATGAATTAGTACAAAAAGCATATGTGAGTTTAAAAAGTTGTTGCTTGCCTGGAGCTTTTCATTCTGGAATCTGCCCTCAGCATCATCTCCTTGGCCCAAGGTAGCATAAATTGGTTGATTCTTAAAGTATGTGTTGAGACTCACTGGTTTAGTAAGACATAATGGAGGCTTTGCCACAGTAATGTTTGAAGATATGCTTGTATTTAGAATTTTGCATAAACTCCAAAACCTACTCTCATTTAGTAGGTCTGTGGAGTTTAACTTCTCATTTTTTTTTACTTTAGCTAAAATGTTTTAGACACCAAGTGAAATTTTAAATTTTTTTTGAGAACGTTGGAAAAAGAGCTGTATATAATCACATAATTATAACAATATAAATTTAGTTAACAGAAGATAACACAGCAGAGGGCTGCAATTAGTAGCAAGTTTAAAAATGGCAGGCTCTAAGAAACTGATTTGATATAATGAAAAAGTACTAGAAGTGGTGCAATATATGTAAAGAAATGTAACAAAGCCTTTGAAACAGGAAAAATAAAGGTTATGAGACATTTTGCCAGTGGCTGTTGTGAGGTAAGGTTGTTTTTATTTTGTTTGGTTTGGATTCAGTGGAAGATGGAAGTAAAAATAGGATTACCAGTTTAATAATGTTTGCACCAACAAGTATTCTTTTACACTTTTTGTTACCAGTTACAAGACTAAAAAAAGGAGAATAAGAAAAGGGGCTCTATCATACAGTTACTTAAACTAAGTGGAATGAGTAGCAAGTAACATCCAGAATTAGTCCACCACTCTGTTCATTTTAAATAAATACAAGTT